TATAATCTACAAAAATAGATAGATAGATATAAAACTGTATATAAAACTCAACTAACATGGGAAGTTCCTTTTTTTTTTTTATTGGATTGATGAGTTTGGTCTCAAAGGAGTCTCTCTATACCTACAGGACAGGAGAACAGCATGGTGGGTTGTAAACTTACTTGTGCTGATTTGCTTAGCTATTCACTCAAGCATACAGAGCTGGTTAGAAACTGGGAGATTAACGTAAATTAGATTTGCAGCAGCGCATGGAAAAAGTTAAAGCATGGAGACCTTCCTTCTTCTGCCAACATGTTCAGTGGCATGAAGTGCCATCTGTCTCACCCAAAGACACTCTTTGAGGCTGAGCAATTACCTTCTTAAGTGGATGATCAGTGGTTCTGAATTAAGAGGGTAAGGAGACATTTTCAAAAAATACTTTTTGTCTAATCTCGCTTTCTCAAAATCAAATACTTTTCCCTGAAAATCCTGGATTTTCAGTTATGCAATGAAAAAAAATTTTTTTTTTTTTTTGCATTGTGGACACTTCCCCTGTAACACTTGGCCAAAAATCTAATTTGCCTTCTGCAGATGCCAGTTAATTTATTTTGAGCCAGCCTCTTGTCAGTCCATTCTCCTCAGGTCTTTGTGATGTAGGAAAGTTGTACTGACCGGAGTACTTCTTCTAGTTCTTTCTATCCAAACACCAGTCCCATAATTGTTAGAGATGAAGAAAATCATAATTTTTTGAATTTTGCAGTCGTTGTGCACAATCTAGAAGCAGTTTGTGCTTATTCTCATGTTTAATCTTTTGTGTAATAGTTAAATACCTGCTAACAAAATGTGTTTATGGGTATATCCACACTGCAGATCAAGTAGAGCACAGTGCAAGTGGTTCTTGAACTAATGCTAAAACTAGCACCAAAAGCAGGTGTAATGCAACATAAGAGGTAGGAATCATTCACATTTACAAAAGTCATGGGAAAATATCCCTGGACAAATACTCTCTGATGGATGATCTTCTGTATCTTAATGCTTTTCATGTATTCTTCATCTTCTGTCTTCTTATTCAACACTAGAGTCAGCTGTTGAAATAAGCTCTTAGAGAGCAAAGGCACAATTATGGAAAGGCCATAATTGTAAAAAATAAAAAAATAAAAAAAAAAACTGAAGGAAATTACAAATTAAAGTAGAATGATGGTCAAGTTCACTCTGGTTTCCATTTTCTAATCATCTTAAATTATTTGAATGCATGTTTTTAAGCTCAAAATCAGCAAAGGTCTCAAGATGTAATTCTCCTAACACCCATTGAATGTTACATTATATCAGTCCAATTTCATTCCAGTCTTTTGCAGCATAATCTCCTACTCAGGGGTATATTTATCATGGTTTAGGGACCTCCTACCTGCTCTGTTTCTATATAGTACTTTTAATACATGAAGTTTAGGAATCATTGTGGAGTTAAAACCATTTTCTTATTTGTAAAGGCCTAGGAATATAAGATAAAAAAATAACTCTTAAAACATGTTTGTCTTTGAAATATCTTAAATTAATAATCAAAAGCTCACATCAAGTCTAAAACAAATCAAACTCAGTCATGAAGATGAGAAACAGGAATTATTAACTGAGTAGCGAGGCTGATATAGGCTCAATGAGATCATTTTGTTCAAAGATTAAAGGCGATGAACACTGAAATAGTTTGAGGAGGATGGCTATGAATGCATCTGACTAGAGCTTCTAAATTCAGTAATGATCAAAAGTTAATTATCAAAGCAGAGAGAACTACTCAACACAGACAATTTGAGTCAATAGCTAAGCAGCCCAGAAAAAAAGTAATTTGGAAGAAGTATTTTCCTATAATGAAGTTATATAAAAGACGTACATTTCAAAGAATCCTGCCTAAAACAAGATTGCATTCTTCCTGATCACAGAAAAATAATTAGCTCTAATTGACAGACCTGCTGCACACCAAATATTTTCAAATAATATGTTTCTGCATCAAAGCTTAATGTGTAGAGTTACTCAATGTCACTTTGATTTTGCCTTTTTTTATTTTCTGCCACGGGGCATGCTCATGATATCACAACAAATATGCTTTGAAAATTAGTTAGCAACACCTGCAAGACAAATAAAAGCAGGCCAGATCCTGCATTTCTTTCTCATATGGAACCCCTGACATTTATTCTGTGCTGTGTTTAACATTACCATGGTTCCACTCAGAGGCAAACTGAATCATTTGTAATAGGAAATGACCATTTGCTTGATGATCCAACATTAAACTAGGCTGGCATACAGATTAACCTGAGCATTTGCAATATTTGTTTAAAACTCTGTACAAGTGAGTATGTGTGTGAAGGACACTGGCCCTTCAGCATGTGGCTTTTCTGAGGGGTAAAGAAAGTGCCTTTTCCCAGTAACAAAGGGCAAAAAATGTGGAAATTCTCCGTGTAAGACTCTAAGGAAAGATACGTGCTAGAATGTTCGTGGTCCAAGAAAATAAAATATATCTATAATTCTTTGTTCCTAAACAGTTGCCATCAACATAGCTAAGGAGTCAAAAATCAAACATCCAGTTTAGACTCTGCTCTTTAATATTCTATGACTTTGACATTGCCAGTTCTCCCTGAAATATCTTCATCTTCTTTAATCTTTCATGTAAACAGTTTAGCTCACACCATCACACACATGTTCTCCAGAATATCTTCTGCTTTACTTTGTACTAAAATCAACCGCATTATTATTATTTACTTGTGCTCCTAGACAGTCTCCACTCTTCTGTTTTCTTTTCTTTATCTGTATTTTGATATCAGATGTTTATGTAGTGGGTTTTTAATAATTCAGGGGGAAAAAACTGATTTAGATGCAAGTTTCACATGCTTGAACTCAGAATTGTTATAGTCCAGCTATTTCGTATATAGAAGGGTCAAGCAAAATATCACTGTACAGTCAAAAAAACTTCTGCCATTGTGGAAGCCTGTTTATGAGCTTTAAAAATAATTTTACTTCCCTGCAGGATGGGACTGAAACTTGGCATTTAGTAGGAGTCTTGGGAAATGCCATTTTTGATGGTGTTTTAATCCATTTTAAATTAAGCATTTGTGTGTTGTTACATGTAGTTTATTAATCAGAAAGATTTCTTAATAACATGCTTCTGACTCTGCATTTGCACGTGGCAGCTGAAAAAGGGAGATTTGGGAGAGTATCTTTGGAAAGAGGCACAATTTACATTGTTTCACTAATGAGGCAGAGACCCAATTTCATCATAGGCTTGTTTGAGAGAACATAATTAGTTTTGGGTCTGTACACTTACTTGTGCAATCTTAAGTTTAGCATTTCCTGAGGTTTAAGTGTTTTATTTAGCAACCCTACTGTTCAATTAATATAATTGTTTCCTACCATTCATTCATTGATTTATTCTTTAGACAGAAAATATAATCCAAATGAAACAAACACGTTTTTCTTTGCATGCTGGGAGCCAGACCAGAGGACTGCTGTTGCCCCATTTCAGCTCTCACAAGCTCTAATTCTTTCTCCCAAATCTTAAACACATTATTAGGTATTTCCATGGATTTAAGCACAGATTTTGTCTTTGATATGATTGGAGGCAAAAGTGCCAAAACAACGGGTATTTTGAAAAACTAGCCCCATTTTAGAGCCCAAAGGAAAACTCATTCTGGCAAAGTTTGGAAACCAGTTCTGCAGGTCTCAGAGGTTTCAAAAGTTAGTCAGTTTTTATAAAGGATTTAATTCCTCAAGGGCTTATGTGAGCATTTTTCAGGACCACTAATATTAGCAGTTCCTATGTGGGAACCATTTTATTCCCATCCCTAAGCATAGCATATCCTCACCAAAACACTTCTTTTCAATTTTGGTTGGCTTTATAAAAATATCTCTGAAGGTAATTAAGCACTAAAACTTTCCTTACTATAATAGGTTTATGGATCAGTTGTCTTAATTCTGCCTTTCACCGCTATCTGTGCTTGTAATCTGACTAACCATCTGACCACTTTCCACATTTAAATCTATTACAGTCTAGTTCTGCAAACACTAGGAGGAATATTCTGAAATGATACAACAGCACTAGTTTACCTGAAGGTGATATTTCAAGCCCTCTTGCGTTAAAACACTGTTACCTATTCTGAAAAAAATCAGAGGAGGGATGCAGGGTTGGTTCAGATTACATAATTATGCCACAGAAGCATTAAAAAAAGAAAATCTTCACTAAAATCTCGAGCAGCTTAACCAGTGTGATAGACTGACGCGGTTCTGCCATCGGTGCCCCCCGCTGTGTTGCTTAGCAACATTTTAATTCAAGAAGAATCGAAGGAGATGAAATCCCTGTGGAGAGGGAAACAGAAATAAGAGGGCCGTTGACAGATGATCTGAGTTGTTTCTTCTAATATACTGTGAAGATCATTGGCTCTTTTCATGAATGATAAATGGACTGTACACAGATCAATGGGTTCAGCACTAAACTGGAACCAGGCTCCATGTCTGAGGTGGTGCAGGCCGAGAGACCCAAAGATTTACTCATTTAGATGATTTGGAGTGTGCTTTCTCAAAGGTTTCACAAGAGGAAATTGATCTGAACATTTGGTCATCCCTTGCCCTTTTCTGTTGTTGGTGAATAAAAACAGTTTTGGAAGCAGAGTCCCTTCTTCCCTTTATTTTTTCCTGTTGTTGTTCTTTTTCCAGATATGGACAGATAGCTTGTGACAAAGGGGCCAGACCTCAGAGCGGGAAATGAAGTAATCGCCCTGAACGAGCAGTTCCTAAACACTCGTGGCCATTAAAAATAAACAAACCACACTGATATCACAAACTGGGTCAGAAGTATTTAAAACCTGTAGCACTATCTCTCTGACAGGGTCCAGCTCCTGCAGCCCTCTGTCCTGGTGGTGGCAGGCTGCCTGGGTGTGCGTTTCTGGAGAGCATCCACGGGTTGATCTTTGCTTGAGGCTTGGTTGTGCTTTCGTGTGTTGCTTAATTGTTTGTTTCCCCCACCCCTCTTCTGTTTACAGGCTGCTGAAAAGACAAAATTGAGAAACATTCCTGTAAAGTAAGTTATTTTTATATCCGTTTGAAAATGCAAGTTTAACAAAGTTGTTGTATACCATCACTAAAAAGACTAGAACAGTAAGAAGGGCAATGAAAGAGGTAATAGAATTCAAGTTGCCCCTAATCATAGCTATAAAAAGATCAGTATCATTGAGGAAAGCTTTTGATTTCTCATGTGTCCCTAATGATTGAACTCCCCAAGTTTCATCCAGTTTCCATAAATTAATGTGTTGTCTATGAATAGCTGCCAAATAATATCACAGTCATACTCAATACATAGTGCTCCTAGCCTTGGGGAAGTTTGTAGATGCTAAAAAGATTATGGTTTTTAATTGCAATCCTTGAGAAGGTCTGACAGGGAGAATATAACTAGGAATGTGCCAAATGATTTCTAGACACATGGGAATATTTTGCACCTATGTATCAAGGCTTTGCCATCCTGTTGATTAAGAGCTCTTTCTCACTCCGTGTGTGTGTGTGTCTCTCTACACCAGACACATGCGTATGTTTCTGGTCATTACAGTAAGGCTCTATGAAGAATGAGCAAGCTACCAGGGAGCAATTTCCAGGGCATTTTATGAGAAGTTCTTAAATCTTAGGGCACTAGCAGCAACACTCAACCGTATATCATTGAATTACGAAAGTTGCTATATAGATGTCCTGGCTCTTTGAGAAAAGGCATTTTCAGTTAAAGATACCAACAATCACTGATTCTGTTTTAATAACGAATACTCCAGTCTTAGTGGACTCTTATGTACCAATAAAGCACATATTTTTTAGCTTCAGTAGGTATCACTGCAGTTTAACTAAGTCCTAGTAACTCTGTATTCCTGTTACAGACAGAGAAATTGTTCCTATTTTTATGTTAGCTTGCTGATCATGCTTGCTTTTGGACTGAAGTGGTTTTGTATTTATAAGAACATGCACTGACAGGACTCACAAATCATTGTGTTTTAGCACACATAACAAAAGAATACAGTTCTACTTCTCACTTGGCTTTCATCGTGTATAGTCATTTACACCTTATAAAGTGAACGCAAAATGTGTATGAACAGTCCTTGGAGTGATTAGGCAAGACGCAAGATAGTCTTAAATCACTCTCTCTTTATGTTTCATTCAACCTGATAAAAATTAAAAATAGGATCCAGCAGGGATCTGATAGCACATGAAACTTCTAATAAGACAAGGGACCTTTCTTGCCTATAGGGCTAGTTCAAATTCAGTGCAAACTGAATTAAAATCATTGTTAGCTGATGGTTGTTTTATAGAGAATAGGAAATAAGCTGTGTTTTCAGCTCACATTCTAGGCGATCCAGGAATTGCAAGGTGATGAGAATCCTGGGGGACAACTCCAAAATAATCATTTATCATTCATTTCCTTTTGTTTTAATATTTTGACTCAAATTCTCAGGAGTGGCTCAACTGAATTGAGTTTTCCCACATATCACAGAGGTGTTGAGCCTTGCAGTCATTAGGCAGCATGTATGTGGCACTGATGCCAAATTAATCCACCAGAAAGATTTGGGAGTTGTGAAGGGAAAGGGTGATATAGGTTAAATCATTCCTTTATGGGACTTGAGTAAGTGTAACATTCTGGGAGTGGAAGGCGGCCAGATGGACAGTCTCGCTCTTTCCACTTACATGTGCATATTTCACCCTGTCATGTTTCCCCCAACTGGTTGTTTAACTTCTCTTTGACGATGTTCATGGTGGCAGCTTCAATTAGTACCCTAGGGAATCCATTATACGTATTAATTACACTCTGCATAACAGAACAACTGAAAAATCTACCTAGTATTTTTCTGTGACTTGTAACTATTTAAGGTACCTGTATGCAGTTATGATTGTATGCTAAAACATTACCTCTCAGAGCAAAAGTAAGCATAGTGTCTTTAGGATAGCGATGGTAGATGTGGATTACATTTATATAAGCGTCATGGCCAGACTTAGTACAGCTCAGGCTTGTCTAGCTTTTAGTTGTTGCTTTTGTAGCTCTCAAATGTCAAAGAGAATTTCACTTGAATTTTAATGTTCTTCAGCTATGCAAAATAAAGTTAGTAGTTTCCATTGTCATAAGGGCTGAAAGCTGTACAGATTCCTTCTACCATATGTGACTTATCACATACATTTTTAAAAACACATTTCTGTTATTAAGACATATGTGACAGTACACTTCTGCAAATGTGAATTGCTTTTGGCTAAAAGCCATGCACTAATAAGTTGAGTTGAATCTCACTGCATTTGACATCTGTTACAATTTTTTTTTTACATATATAAATATATATAAAATATTCGCAGTTGTCATTAGCATAAAAAATTTACTTGTTTTTGTTGTGCTGACATAGTTCTTGTGTCCCAAAACTGGAATCAGAAATGACGCCCTTTTAAAGACTATATTTTATATAGAGTCCTTGGACAGGGCCTAGTAGTGCCACTATTTAACATATTCATTTAGGAGCATGACAAAAATTTCTGTAGAAATGGTCTATTTACTTTTCATTGCTCGGTTTTATTCATGTTGCTGGTTTAATGTTCGGGCGTAAGTTTACTGTTCTTTTTTTTTGTTTTGTTGAATCTTTCCAGCACTTAACACTTACGGAGGGAAAAATCCACATGTTTCCTCACTACAGTTCACTAAGGCAGCCAAGCAGGTGGTTTCTTAATGTCCAAGTGTCTATATGTGCTTAGATTAACCGGTGTGAATTTCCTGACAGTCAAGGTAGATGCAGATGGCATTTGGCTCCTTTAGAAGGCTTGGTCTCAATTCCATGTTGCTTGTAGCACTGCCAGACACAATACATCCATAGGAACTTCACTTTATGTATTGGTAGCATCATCTGACGTAATATTACTGTAAATAAGCACACAGAGAATAGCTAAGAAGTCTCTGTGTCTGCAGAACTGATTTTTTTTGGGGGGGGGGGGGGGGGGGGGGCGAGGAGAAAAAGGGAAAAAGTGCAGTTACTTTTCCAAAAACATAAGACCCTTTTCTGTCTATGTATGGCACCAAGGTGGCCCCCATAACTTCAGAATCCATTACATGTGACGTTTTTATCCTCTCCTGTCCTTGTCATATAAGGAGCACTTACTTTCTCCCATTGGTTTTATCCATGTTTACATTGAGAGTCTATAGTAGAAGAAGGATTTCCTGGATGCAAAGTCCAAGATAGTTTCCTGCTTACTTGCTGGTCCTTATTGTGCTGTTCCTATCCCTGAGTCTGAAAGAGGTAACATGACAAACAGGTTTACCCTGTGGAGGGTTTACGATTTCTGAAGAGTTGTTACATGAGAAATGGTTTTCAATTAGGACACATCCAGAAGAAATAATCTTCTGTGATTTGATGGAAGAGGAGAACAGTGATGTCATTAAAATTAAATAGTAGCTTTGTTCTGAAATGCAACGGATGATCACTCTTCACAGATTATTTTTCCAGACCTGGGCAGGCACTGGGAGCCCACATCAGCATAGAGCCTGGAGGAATCATGTCCATGTTGACTTGGACCACATCACTTGTCTTTTATCAGTGGGTTGAGCTGCAGGATCCCCTCAGATCCAGGCACAGTCAGGGTTAGGCCTCACTCTCAAATACAAATACACTTGGCTTGGCAGCCTAAACATTAGCGTAGACTGAAGGTCAACCAACGTATTGCTTTATCTCCGCCAGTGGTAGAAGGTGGGGGAGGAAGAACAACAATTATGGAGGCATCCTCCACAGGGAGTATCCTCCCACCTTCCTGCACACAGCTTTTTACACTTGTCATGTGCTACATGTCCTGTGTTTAGGAGGTACTAATGGACTTAACTTCCATGCAAAATCTCTTTTGAAATCTGTTTATACTTCTTGTCCCCACAACATCCTGTGGCACTGACCACCATAGTGTGTGAAAAAATACTCTTTTGTTTGTTTAAAAACCTTTTCCTCGTATATTTACTGGAATCCACATGCATAGTTTTTCTTACACAAAAGAGCAAATGATTACTCACTGTTCTTCATTCCTGATATCTCTGTTGTATAGACCAAGGAGTCTTCCTACTCAAAACCCACTAATAATGCTGTTTTCCCTCTAAGGGTATGAGCCCACCAGAGAGCTAATATAGACACAAGGCAAGTCTCTCTGCAGTTGGGAAGGGAAGCCTGTGTGTCTACTAGTTGGGCAGACACAGTGGTTAGGAAGATAACTAGTTTCTTTTCACTTTTTTTCCATATTAAAGAAATGAGTTCTTTGCATGGCAATGCCCTTCTGACTAAGGACTGGCTATAATGTCACTCTAAACAAATGCCTCAGATGACAGTCCTTTATGAAAACTGAAAATAGTTTCCTTCGGGAAATGTGGGCAGGTGAAAGAATTATTTGGCTAAAAACTGATGTCGTCCAACACTATGAAATACAACAGTTTTGTAAGTGAGAAATTAGATTTTTAGAATGGAAAAGGCATACTTTTATGAGTGGTCCATGTAGTCCATGAACTGCTGTAGAACTGTGAGAATATTGGAATTGACTTCTTGCTTCAGGGAAGAAAACATTGCCTTCCTTGAGTGTCCTTTATACTCTCTTCTTTTATAGTCCCTTTAAAAATCTTCAATAGAAAGCAATGGCATTTTCCCCAAACACCTGCATATGCTTAAATTTGCTGTAGATTTAATGACTTCCAGATACATGTTTTGGGATTATAGCTTGTGTTAAAATCCCGCTGTTTTTCATATTTTCAAAATATATTTGCTTTGCATCAGCCACAAGTTTGTTAACCAGAAAGACTTCTGGTGTTTATTGTCTTTTCCTGCTGTAAAACTCATCTTGTCCTCAGAAGGGCATCTGACTTGACTTGGTATGGTTTTCTGTCCCAACCATCATTGGAAATGCAATCCATTAACATTTGATATGTTGACATTTCAATTGACCTCTCATTTGCAAAGCGCAGTGGTATTTTTTGTGGCCTTTTCATCCTTGATTATACATGGAATAGGAGTGACTGTTTCTACTGACTGCACTTTAAAAATA